CAGACAAACAACGATAGGGTGAAGGGGTGATGTTATAAAGTATACAGAGGGAGGGGGGGAGTGATGATCTAATAGAGGAAGGAAGTTCCTTGAATAAAATTGAACCAACATGGAAATAAATTAAAACTCAAAGTTTTTAAAGATGTCATAAGATCAGATTTAAACACGAATACACCAACATGTAATTAGGGTTCATTGACGTTAGTTTCGTACTTTTAAATCTGATCGTTGACGATGGTTGTCAATTTAACGTAACAGTTAAAACCAATATATTACTGCATGTTTGCTTTTCATAACAACGGTTCAGTTGAATTATTTCTCGTTTGTTAACACTATTTTTACTCAAAATACCCAGGTCTTTCCTGAAATATATAATATACTATACTACAGCTTTGTCCTGAAATATATAATATACTATACTACAGCTTTGTCCTGAAATATATAACATACTATACTATAGCTTTGTCCTGAAATATATAATATACTATACTATAGCTTTGGTAACCCAACTTTGCCTGTAAACTAAAGTCAGCCTTCTCAAGTTAGAACTTATAAACCAGACCAAGAACATTCCCGTGGTTCTACCGAGTTCCCCAATCAGAATTTAAGGCAAATATGGTTAAAAACATAACATTAAAAAGATGTAAAAACCTGTGAAATTGGTGAATTACTTCTAGATTCAGGTCTTGGTGTTGTCTAAACAAAACAAAATACGTTTTTATTCAATGAATATGATTTTTTGAATCAATAAATAGTGAAACTGTTTAAAGAATAATTTGGATGCTATTGTGAAGAAAACTGATGTACTTTATCCCTATCGGGATCAAGATTTTAAAACACAGAACAGAGATTAGATAAGATGGGAAATAAGACTTTTCCTCTGTATGAATTTGTTCAGTCCCTTTGTGCCTGAAAAAGAGTTCAAAGTGTAAAATTCATGTAAATGTTCACAAATTGTACGCAGCACATCACAATATGATCCATGGACATATCCGTTACAATTTTTTTCTTTTTATATAAAGTTTATACTGAAATTAACTATGGAATGCTTGACAGGTTCAGGTTGTCAGAGAATTGAAGTAAAGAAAATTAAATAAATTTAAAGAATTTTTTTTTTATAAAAAGATGTTCCAGGGCCCAAAAGTTTATATAGCACAAATGTGTGAAGTACACCTCCAATGAGAAACAGTACAACTAAATGTCGGTTTTACACTTTTTTCGACCTAATTCCACTCTATACTAATTTCTCTTTGTTTAAAAGGTCACACTAATTTTATCATTTTTGTACGCTTCATTCTACAATCTTCATACAGTGGTAGGCGATAATATCAATATAATGAAGACGACTTTCGAATTGAATATTGATTTATACACAAAGTTGGAAACAGAAAAATATTGAAACAAAGAGAAGATGTTGATTTCAAAAGCTTCTCTTTAATTATTTGTAAACTTGTATTTCGAAAAATGCTTAACATATTAAAACTTAAATAAAAAAGTCGTCTTGATTATCTTGATACTATCGATTACCACCGTAGTACAATATACCATTTCATTTTACAAAATATTTACTGATATAGAGGAAATGAGACAATGTGTCAGAAGACGTTTAATGAATTGAGTCATCTCTATACAGAGTTTAACTCTATCATTCCCAGTTGTGGGAGGGGGGGGGAGACTCAAAAAGAGTCAAAATTAATGACTAAAGACTAAAAAACTAGATTTTTAACTTTTCACACATTATAGTTTATTAAGACAGATATTTTTTCTGTTTTGCACAAGGGTTTCTTTCCCTTAAGCATGCTATTGAGAAGCTATTCTGTAAATAGGAACAAAAGATAGGCCCCTCCCTGAATCTGTCAGGGGGGCGAATGCCCCCCCGCCCCCCTGTATCCGCCCCTGACTACAGGGGAGTTAGATGGTACTGGGGAGTGGATTTTTGTTGGGAGGGGGGAGGGGGGGAGGTAGTCATATCAAACATGAATCATCACAAATGTGTTTACAGAAGTTTACATAAAGGATGAGACTGTATTTAGTACCGAGAGGAAACCATATAAATTTGGTCAAATTGTCCCTGAAACTCTCGGCTAAATATATAGTTTTAGAAACGTAAAAATCTACCTTTTTTAAGGGTAAGTTATGCGAGGATGAAGGACGGGGGGGGATGGTATTTTGAAATTAGAGATGTGTTTATAAAAGTACCTTCTTTGAGGTTGACAAATGGTTTTCCGCATCAGTATCAATCTTATTGATAAAGTACTTTTTTGAAGTTGACAAATAGCTTTCCACATCAGTATCATTCTTATTGATAAAGTACCTTCTTTGAGGTTGACAAATGGCTTTCCGCATCAGTATCAATCTTATTGATAAAAGTACCTTCTTTGAGGTTGACAAATAACTTTCCGCATCAGTATCAATCTTATTGATAAAAGTACCTTCTTTGAAGTTGACAAATAGCTTTCCGCATCAGTATCAATCTTATTGACAAAAGTACTTTTTTGAAGTTGACAAATAGCTTTCCACATCAGTATCAATTTTATTGATAAAAGTACCTTCTTTGAGGTTGACAAATGGCTTTCCGCATCAGTATCAAAATGGATGCTGGGCCGCTTGGTAGAGAAAAATCCAGTGACAGATTTCTCATGTCGAACATTTTCAGGTCCATCGATCACGAAGGTTTGAACATGAACAGGGTTGTTTGAGTGGACCAGGGAGAAGGAAGATGGTCCATTGGCTTTCACAGCAATTGGACCTATGAGCTGGACTCGTTTCTGTGCTCCTCCTATATTGAATATTTCAGGAGATTTGCATGTTTGTCAGATTCACAATTGTACCCTCTATACTTCTTATCAATAAGAAAGGTATCATTCATATATCTTAAACCATGGAAATTCTGACTATCTTCTTCCTAGTCTCTGAATAATAAATCCGCAAGTCTCTTTTATGTGATACCACAATTTTAAATAATTTATTTTCAGGTAGAAGAATAAGGATATCTTGATTGAATACTTAATATTATAGAGTACTGAATTGAATCTGATATGCCACTCTCTCTATATATAAAAAATTATGTATATTTACATATGTATATATTAATACAAATGTATATGTATTATATAATGGTATATTTGAGTATAGGTTACCTGTTTTTCTTTTAAAGTTGTTTAGCACTTGGCCTAACTGAGCCTTTTTGAAAGCATTTTCTTCTTCCTGCTTTGTCAATGCTTTGTCCGATATCTCAACAAAGTCAGTCAAGACTTTACCCAAGGTCAATGACTTCTCTGCTTCTTGGGTTGGAGAAATTTTATCTATGAACTGATTCAGAACCTTCCCCAATTGTTCTTTAGAACTGATTGCCTCAGTGTAAGGAGGAACATGTACTTCTTAAAATGAGGGACGTAAGCATCATTTTAAATTATCCCCATGCAAAGATGGCAATGCCCGATTTACAACGGTACCCTAAAAATCTTTGTCTGATGAAGTATTAATTAGATATCCATGTTTTAGTTTCTTTAATCTGTTTGTTTTCATTAAGCGGTTACTGAGCAAAAGTGACATGCAGTTTTCTGCGTATAAGATGCAATGGTTATTTCAGAAATGAACACTTTAAGAGTCAGACAAACAACGATATCTTCTACATATTTTATCAGATTAAGGCTTCAAGGATACCTTTGTAAATCAAGTATTGCTATCTTTGAATGGAAGGTCTCTTAAAATTACGCTTACAGTCCTATTAAGTGTTTAAAATGTTCTAATTTTAATTGTAAAAAACATAAAAGATATTGTACCTGTGGGTTTTGGTCTTCTTGTGGCATAGGTTGGACTTGGAGTGGTTTTATATGGATTTTCAAATGCTGAAAAATAATAAGATAAAAGACAGATCTAATTATCAAAATCCTTATATAATATATTTTTAGATTTTTCAAAACAAGAACTTTAAAAACCTGACTTTACAGTTAATTTAAGCCAAATTCAAGCTACCAAAGGAACCCAACTCTTTATTTACAGTAAAGCCAACACAAATTGGTTTGGTTTTATTACGTAGGATCACAAAAATACAATTAAATTTTGAAAGTAAATTTAACTATTTTCTCTAGTTCTTGTTTTGCAGTCTTGTACATAAGCAATCACCAGCTTGAAAGATTTGATTAACCTGCACTTGTAAATGGATTTGGAGGGCCAGCAGTTGAATATTGCAATGGAGGAAGAGTTGATGTAACTGCTCTAGGAGGTAAGGAACTTGTTACTGTTGGATTAGGAGGTGGATTGGAGGGTCTGGGGGGTGGAGTCGAATGCACAATGATTGGAACTGGAGTTCTTGTAATAGTTGGTTTTACTGTTGTTAACTTGGGTTTAGAGGTTGATACTTGTTTTGGAAGCTGGCTCACAATAACTTTCGGTGGGGAACTCTGTTGAATAGATTTAGGCTTTTTGATTGGGACTATTGTTGAGTGATCAATATTGTTTGGAATTGGAGGAGGGAATGGAGAAGGGTGAAGGTGATGAGGAAAAGGTGGCAGAGTTGGGACATGAGGTGGTGGAGGTTCAGTTTCGGTGTGGTGTAAAATTGGAAAAGGTGTTGATGCTGCATGTAGTGGCTGACGACCAACTCGCAAAGGTAGTGAAGTTGAGTGATGTGCTACTTTATGTGGGGCCTGAGTAGGATTATGACTATCTTGCAATGGAAGGGAAGTAGAATGGTGTGCTACATGTGGGGCTTGAGTAGGATTATGACTATCTCGCAAAGGAAGGGAAGTAGAATGGTGTGCTACATGTGGGGCCTGAGTAGGATTTTGACCGAATTGAAGAGGCAGGGAAGTAGAATGATGTGCTAGATGTGGGGCCTGTGTAGGATTATGATCAACTTGAAGAGGAAGGGAAGTTAAATGGTTTGCTTCATGAGGGTCCTGAGTAGGATGATGATTTACTCTCAAAGGAAGAGAAGTAGAATGATGTGCTACATGTGGTGTCTGGGTTGGGTGATGATGATATTTTGGTGGAAGGTAGGCGGAATGATGAGGATGGGATGAATCTATTGGAGGAAGGGAAGGAGAATGTTGTACAGGAAGTGAAGATACAGTGGGTTGATGATTTTGAGTTTCATGTAAAATAGGAGAATGAAGAGGAAGTAATGATAAATCTTGAACAGGGAGGTTTGAATCATGATCTTGAGGAGGAATGGCTGGAAAATGTAGAACTCCAATTGGTTCTTGATTATGATGTTGATAGCTTGGCAATGGAGGGGGATGGGTGCTAGAGGCAGAGTGATGTGGAATTTGATGAGAATCTAGAGGTGGTTGAACTTCAGCATCAAAATGAAGAGCCTGTTATAAATATTTTATTTAACATTAATCATGAGCTTAAGCATGTTAGATGCAAATTCTAAAAGATTAATTTTTTACTTAAGTTCTCCCCTTAGATTTTTCTTAAACTTCATTTAGTACCTTTTGTACTTACCCTTTCATAGAAAATACCAAGATGTGAGAAATTATCATGTAAGAAAAATTTACAAAACTATCTCTTCAAAAATATTTTAAATTGTAAAATCTAATTAAAAATAAAATAACCTGCAGTGGCTGCACTACATGTTCTGTTCTAGCATGATGAGGAAGGGGTGTCGGAATACTAAAAAAGAGATTAAAAGATGTTGCTTGTTGAAAATTTGTTTTTAAAGTTGTTTCCAACCTGATCAGAGGATGCTGGGTTGATATTTTGGGATAACTCTAAAATAGTTGCTGCATTAAGATACTGTAGAATTTGCTAAAAAATTTCCAAATAGTAGGTAAATAAAATCTAATTATTAATGCAGTAGCCTAATCTAAATTCCTGGTCATCACTGAAGGGATATGGAACCCCACCGGAAATGTCAAAATTTGAACCTCTTTGAACCTGCAATAAATAAATTGTTTAATAACAATTTCTAACATAAAGCTTATTTTACATTTATTAAAAAACCAACCTTGACATAGCTATGTCTAGTAGTGTACTGATAACCTCCAAAACTAGGGTCATGTGATGGTTGTGGGGTTGGAGTAAACAGGGCAGGTTGAGGTGTTGGTCGTGGAATTGGAGGAAGATCTTCTTTTGCAAGATGATGATCAAGTCCAGCGTGAGGATGAGGGAGCAAATTATCCAAAACTACCTGTTGATGTGGTAATGCATGATCTGGTTTAGGTGAAAAAGGAGCAATTTCATTTTCCAGGGATAAATGGAGGGAAGGTGAATGAGAAGCTTCTCTAAAGTTTGGTACAGGACCTATGAATGGGTTTGAGTTTACAGTTTGATGAACTGATCCATATTCTAGTTTAGGAGAGTATCCTTGGCTATGTTGTCTAAGGGGCAAGCTTGCAAAATGTGTTGGTACAGATGTAGTTCTCTCATACGTTGGATGATGGGGGACTGGAGTTGGTCTGTAAGGAAGTGAACTGACAGCTACATGCTCATCAGAATTGAGGGTAGTGCTCCTGAATGTATACATGAATTTTTTTTAAATTTTGGTTTCAACAGAATAGAAATGATAATAATAAGGGACCCTACCTAATGGTTGTGGATGAAACATATGGTGGAAATGTTCTACTGGTTGATGCTGTTGTCCTCCTTGTTGTTGTTGTTGGATGAGGATTTGTCACAAGTTCACTAAAATGCAAGCTTGGCGGAACTTCAGGATGAGGATTGTAAGAAGAAGCAGGATAAGGGTAAGGATAGTTTGAATACTGGGGATTTTGTTGATAAGAAGGATATTGAAAGCCAGAATAAGGATTGTAGGAAAGGTCTGAATTTCACAATAAATATTCTAGCTTATTTAGATAATCAGAAAATAAAAAATATTGATTCAAAAACAATCATTTATGTCTGAAAAAAATCTGTGACTATGACTAAAAACTAGAATATTTCCTTTATAATTGAAGCTTGAAGTTTGAAACCCTCCTTGGGTGGCAAAGGATGATGGAGTAGTAGACACACTGTTAGAATCAACAAGGGGAGAATAGCTGAATGGAGTTGTAAGCTCTGAAGGTGCTTCTGAAATACAACATTTGAAATTATATATGTAAAGAATCATGCAGTTGGCTGACAGAAAGTCTAAAATGTCACTGGACAATCATGAGTCAGGAAAAAAATGTTGATTAATTCTAAATATCTGTTCTCTCCTCTAGGAATGACTAACTGAAAGGAGTGGTAACTATCTTTTTTTTATTATTCAAAATTAAATCAAACTTGCCAGTATTTATAAAAAACTCATTTACCTGATGAATGCTGATCAATCTTAGGATGATCTAACTGATTCTGTACACTGTGATGAAGAGAAAGCTCTCTCGGCTCTGGACCATGTCCTGCTATCTGATGAAGAGCAGCAATAGTCAAAGGTTGGTCCCCTGGCTCCCCTCTACTGTGTACTGGTATGTCCCCAAAGAAAAGGGTTGTTGGGGAGTCCGGAAAGGACCCTAGACCCTGTGGCTGATCAGATCCTGGCGTAATACCAACAGCTTCAAACCCATTTCCAAGTTCAGGTCCAGGTGTTGCACCGATTCCAGGAATATGATCTTCATGACCAAAGTATTTATTTGAAGGAGGCAAGGAATGAACAGGCACAGCTTGGGAAGGAAAGTGTTTAAAAGATGGAACATAGGGAGTTTCAGCTGGAGTTGATATGGGAATGTCTTCGGTTTTGACAATATATTAGAATACACGCATTTTATCATTATTTAAAGAAACAATCAATTTAGTTTAAATCAGTAATATAAGTTTATGTAAAAACAAATTTGTAGAAATCATTTATCCATTTATTTGGCCCCTTTAATGGCTAAGAGTAGATACATCCTAGATCTAATACTTTAAACCTCTAAAATTGTCAAATATGTCACATTTATTGCTTTTCCTAAATTAGCTTTCTTTGCTGCTGATTTAGCTGCAGTAATACTATCCTCCTCAAATACTTCTTCTAAAATATAAATCCATTGTGGCTCTTGGGTGAAAAAAAAATAAATTTTAGCAAATAAAACCCATAGATCTTGTTTATAAAATTATTTTTGAAACTCTGCAATAAAAAAAGATGGGTCTGTCACAAGAAGCAAAAATAATCTTACAAAAATATTCTATTATAAAGAGAATGAAATTTTACTGCTTTCCATCTAGCCCCTTAGTTTTGACTGGCAATATTTGCCAGAAAACATAATGTGATAAAAAAGAAAATAAAACTTTGTTGAACAATTCTACCTTTTCCTGGACTTTCCTTTGTAAATGGCATACTGCTTAAAGCCATTAAAGCTCCAATTTCAAGTCCCATATCATCATTTGCTATAACAGAGTATGATCATAGAACATAATGAAAAATATACATTAAAATGTTTTAGAATTCAGAATCAGGTTTTTTTAAGTGCTTAGAACAAATTATGCTAAAACTGATATTTAGCACAATTTTCATGAATCTTGATTTCTAAAGTGAGTTTTGATTCAAACTGTCAGCAGAATAAAAAATAGAATTCCAACTCAGTTAGGTGAAAACCAAGACCTGGAGGCCAAATAAAATTCTTGCCACGAATTTAAGTTTTTTCCTCCCTGTTTCTTTTCACCCTAATAGTGTACACCTTTATTATTTCAAAATTAGATAATTTGATCTAACAAAATTCACAGGTTAAAATAACCAAGGTCTACTGCATTGGGTTGCAAAGAAAAATTAGAAAATCCCAGGTTGTGGCAAAGAATCAATTCCAGTGTTCTTGTTTACATTCAGATACAAATGTTGTCCTTTAAACCCCACCCTCCAGCAAAAAAACAAAGTATCGCCAAAATAAATATTTTTTTAAAGATACCTTTTGAATTTGATTCAGTTGTTGTCTTTACTGCTTTAGCAATTCTAGCACCTTAATCATTATTATCATTATATACAGGGTTACATTCAAAGAAGGAGAGATAGGATTTTACAGAATTTAAATTCATGGTTCCACTTTTTTCTTTGTCTTGGCATATTGCACGCCATTATAAGTCAATCTTTAAAGTAACAACCAAAATCAATCATCAGCTTGCTACAGATTAAGAATTTTAGGTCGCCATTAAAGGGAGTGTTCGCGAAAAATGAAAGGAGGTATAGGCTTAATGCGATAAAAAAGCGCTTTTGATCGCTACTAATTTTACTTCTATCTGTTGCGTCTATAAGGAGAAAATTGTTAAAGACGTCTCATACCGAATAACTTAGCGCCCATACAAATTGAGAAAATTGCAACATACAACTTAGACCGTAAAAAATCAATTTAATTTCATTCAAATCATTTAAATATTACAACCTATAGTCATCGATTATCTTTCGCCACATTTGTATATAGTTTATATTTTATAATATTTTATTTTTTAGAAAAAGTTTTAACGGATTTCGAAAAATGTGAGTGGTGCGCGGCATTCTTAAATAGTTGCGCAAGCCGCAAGAGAAATAATCAAATTCAAAACAAATTAATTAAAAAAAATTATAAAATATAAACTATATACAAATGTGGCAAAAGATAATCGATGACTATAGGTTGTAATATCTGAATGATTCTTTTCAAATTAAATTGATTTTTTACGGTCTAAATCGTATGTTGCAATTTTCTGAATTTGTATGCGCGCTAAGTTATTCGGTATGAGACGTCTTTAAAAATTTTCTCCCTATAGACGCAACAGCTAGAAGTAAGATTAGTAGCGATCAAAAGCGCTTTTTTTATCGCATTAAGCCTATACCCCCTTTCATTTTTCGCGAACACTCCCTTTAAAGCTTTATGATGTATGTATGGAAAACTCTTTTTTGGTAATTATCAAACATTTTCCAACTGTGTGCAGTGGGATCTAATTAATTGTGGAATATCTGCAATGTTGATGTTCAATATTACCATCAGCTTGTAAATCGAATTTTAATGAAATGTTTACACTGAACAATTCTGCTGTAAAATTCGATACATGTTTATTAGACTATTGAAAATCATTAATTTAGTCTGTCTACACCACAGTTGTATGGGTTCACTGTATTATTTTAATATTTTTACCATTTGGTTGCCCTGCAGCCCTTCTTCTACTGTACGGCTGTTTACCCTAAACAATTTATCCATGAAAAAGCGTCACAATTTCCCGAGTTCTCCAACAAATATTTGAGGCAAATCGGTTCAAGGGTTCATGAGTTTTGATCGTACATAAAAAAAGAAATTACTACTTTATATATATATATATATAGACATAACTAATCAAACAACACGTTTTTAGCTCTAAATGCTTTATTATTTGGATTGGGAAGCCAAATTAATTTTTTAAATACAGTGGACATAGGTTCAAAAACTAACACTTGGACCATTTCTAACACCGAGTGTTAGAAATGGGCAGAAATTGAAAGACTGGGTTTTTGGGATCCCGGCCCATATCCAGAGTAAAAGTCGATAAAAAAACTATAACTGGCATTTTATTAAACATAACAAGGACAACAATTCCCAATTTTAAACTTTTTAAAATCAAAACTATAATAGAAGTTCTTTTTTTACATTTACCCTTGACAGTTTTCAAGAAAATGTCATGTTTTCCATTTTCGAACATATCCTGAATTTGAAACATTGTCGCGTTTTCGAGTCAAAACGTTCCCGTTTTTGAGTATAAACCATAATTCAAAACAAAACTCACTTTCATAACTTACAAAATAAATCACTGAAAACAAAAATTATCTTATGAATTATTTCTGAATTATTTCTAGAATCTAAGTTTCCACATTTTATCTGTTAAAGTAGAGAATATGGATGATTTATTTTCAAGCATTTAAAACAAACAATTTCCCGCATTACTAGTTAAATCTATATTGTAAGAACAAATTATATTAATATTTTGATTTCTCAATGCAGTAATGATTTTTAAATTTCAAAAGAACAGTTTGTTTTATTTCCTATTTTGTTTATATTTTACCTTATAAAATTTTTTTGTTTTATTTCATAAGTGCGTAAATATTTGAAAATTGACATTGATATGAATTCCGGTAATTGTCTCAAAACCAGGAAATGTTTCGAAAACGCGACATGAGCTGAAACCTGGGAATTGTTTCAAAATAGGGATATGTTTGAAAATGAAATCAAGAATCATCAAAAACTAAATGCCACACCTTATTATTAGTATAAAATTGACATTTATTGTTTCAATATATAGTGTTAGCCATTTTTTAAAAATGTAGGGTGTAATTTTGTTCTACTCGACTTTTAAAAATATATACTCTTGAAAAAGATATCTTTGCAGATTTGGCCCATTTCCAGTGTTAAAAATAGGCCAAGTGTTAGTTTTGGAACTAATATCCTCTGAAATAGCAGTAAATTGTGAAAAAATTTAATTCAAACTTTGAAATGAATACATCACATTTAAATTTAACATATTTTATTAAGTTTTGAAAAGATTGGAAATGGTTTGTGTATTATTTAAAAAATATTACATAAAAAAAAAAGGATCAAAGATTGCAGTATTCAGGAAATAGTATTATTTAAAACCAATACAATTAAATTTAAATGGTAATTTATTTAGCAAAATACCACAAGAAGCACAATAGTCGAATTTGTATTAATTAATAGTATGTAGACTAATATGTGTTCAGAAATGTAAAGGAATTGAGTCTTTGTCACAAACTCAAATTTTCTAATCCCTATATCTTAGCAACCTGATGGCGCAAACCTTGATTATTTCATCTAACATAACATTTAGTTTGAATTATTTAAGGTCTCCGACAATGGTATGCAAATAAAGAGGGATTATAAAATCAGGGCTTGTTGCAAAGACTCAATTCCTTTGGACTTTAATTCTTAAGATTGGTTGTTTTTAAAGAGGGTGCCCCTTAGTCATGCCTTTTAATTCCTGTACCCTTAAACATATCATCTTTATACTTAAACAGTTTAATTTTACCATTCGTGCCACTATCTCAATAATTTAATGTGATCTCTGAAATGATCAAATCATGATGTTTTAAACAACAGTTAGCTTACAATTGATAACAAAGATCACAGTTAAACTAACTCAAATATTAATGGTTCTGTCAGGAATTAGCCCTTTCATTTTTCGCGAACACTCCCTTTAAAGCTTTATGATGTATGTATGGAAAACTCTTTTTTGGTAATTATCAAACATTTTCCAACTGTGTGATATAGCACAAATGNGGTGGAAGGGTTGTATAACGGAATTCAACGACATATAAAATATAATTAAGAAAGATTACATTGTTTGATAGAAATCTTAAATTTAACAAATTAGCGTAGTGTCAAAACGTATCATCAATCATAAAACTCTTATGTTTGTTTACAAACAAATGTTTACAACTAGGTCTCTAAGAGAAATATAAAATAAACTGTTTATTGCAAAGGCTAAGTTTTGTTTACAATATTTCCATATTTCTGGGGTTTTTTTGGAAAAAATATAAACGGGGTTCTTAGGTGCAACTTCCTTTGGCAAAAAAGCTTCTTTGCGATATAAAACAATTTAGATCTTTTTTATGTGAATTTTTAAGACCTCACTTCTTTTATCGAGTTCGTATATTTAGAAACATTGTTAACAGAAACAAAAAGTTGATTAAGAGTCAAAACTGATAAAATATATATACAAAAAATGATTAAATACATATATTAAAAAATATATAAAGTTGTAATATCTGTTTGGGTGTGAAAATCGGTTTCTGAACCGATTTTCCTCAAACTTTGATTGGGGAACTTGAGAGAGCCACGGGAATATTCTTAGCTTCCAGTTTTGAGATTCTATGTTGAGTGGGTTCATTTTTAACGGGTAAAAGAAGTAAAAACGTGGTATAACAAATTTTATTTCTTTTGTAGTTTATCACTTTCTTTAGTTTGAAATTTTTTATAAAAAATAGTTTTTTGATTTTAAAATATAATTTCAATGTTTTTTATTCTTTATAAAATGTGTTTGATAGTAAGTTGTTTGATGATATGATTTTTAAATGCATGTCATTTTTTATTTATTATACATTTTAGGTTCTTAATGAAATATGTCTTTTTTAGAATACGATTCTTTTTTATTCCAGTTCTCTTCAAATGAGATAAGAAAAAGTAACGAAAGTACGAAAATGTTGAAGAATGGCATTGTACATAATGTCATTGCTTTCCACAAAAAAAGGAAATAATTTTTTACCAAAAACTCAAATTTTCTTACTCCTAAATCTTTACAATTTAACAGTGCAAACCTTTGATATTTCAGGCTTAGATTAATTGATCTACAGAATTCGTACTTATGAAATATCAAAGTTCTATAAAAAGTTGAGTTTGTGGCAAAGACCTAATACCTTAAAATAAAGAAAATTTAATGATCACCAATTGAATTGGGAAAGATTTATTTTTTATATAATTACTTTTCTTACTGTTTTCACTTCTGTTAACCCTATCCATGCTGGGGTACTTGAAGTACACGAGGGCGGTCAATTTGACCCCCCCCCCCTCCCTCTCTTTGAATCCATGTCCAAATATACCAAATGATACATCATTGGAAAGCTCTTGCGCTTAGGGTTTCCAACGTAATAGATTATTCTCTTACGCGTAATTACGTGTAATTTCGCAGGATTACGCGTAATTGGGGAAATATCCATTTCGCAAAATTACGGCGTAATTTCGCGTAATTTCTACAACGTAATTTCGCGAAATTACGTAATGATTACGCGTAATAAGCGAAACTATAATTTCGCGTAATTTCTACATTGTTATTTCGCGAAATTTTCTAGTGATTATGCATAATAAGCGAAACTATAATTACGCGTAATTACGGCCTAATTTCGCGTAATTTCTACGAGGTAATTTTGCGAAATTTTGTATTAAATACTTCGATTTCGCGTAATTTCTACAAAGTAATTTTGCGAAATTTTGCAGTAATTACGTCTATGAAATTTTGAAGTTTTAACTTTTAATTTAAATAAAACAACTATTTAATTACGCGAAACTAGACTTTCTTTCGTAAACGTAATAAACGCGTAATTACGCGTAATGCTCCTGCGTAAGTGAAAGAAAGTGTTACGCGTAATTACGCGTAATTATGCGTAACGTAATTACGACTGGAAACCCTACGCTCTACTTTAAGAATCCAAAAAATTGCAAATTTGCAAAAATTAAATTTTTCTTTGCAAAATCCAGTTCTAAAAAAAAGTTTGAGATAAAAAATTGAAAAATTTTAAAAAACCTGATGAGTAATTAAGAAAAAATAAAAATGCGCAAGCTTCTTTTCACGGGTTGTATATGCAAATAATTTTCCAAAACGCTAAAATCTTATTCAAATCTAACAACTAAAAGTGGGTCAAAACAAAGATTTAGTTTGTTACAGGAAAAAGTAGTCATTCAGGCAGTGTGCATGAGGACTCAGGCAGTTAGTATAAAATCCCGGTTGTAAATTTAAAGGGTATTTAGAAAAGTCAGAAAATTTCAACAGCCTCAGACCAATACTTTTTGAGTCATGTAAAAAAACTACAGAGGGGGTCTAAAGGAGCCCCCCCCCCCCCGAATAGGGTTAATATAATGTAGAATAAAGAAGATGGAAAAATGAATTAGTTTAGTTTCACAATTCCATTAAACTAAATATCATTGTTTCGAGCAGAAAACTTTAGATTACGTTCTCAAGAACAATAAGATTGAAATAACAACAGGGTTAAATTTACCTTGTTTTTATCTCCGCTTGTCTGTGCTGAGGGTTTCGGCGCTCTTTCTAATCTTTGCTTCCAGTACCTATATATATAAATCAATACAATAAAGACGACCTTCGATTTCAATTTGATTTCTAACAAGTTACACAATATAGATACAGTTAGAACAAGAAAACTGTGGAAGAATGTCGTCTTCGTCGCTTAGGATTTCATAATTTGAAAATGTTGCAAAAACAGTCGTCGTCGTATATATAACTACAATGAAGACGACTTTCGTTTAAATATGATTTCTATTCAAACAACATGGATACGATATATTACTGTCGGCAGAAAACATGAACTTTTAACAGTGAAAATTTCTAATTCAAAATCAAATATATTTAATGCTTGATGAGGGGCCCAGAAAACATTGTGTAGTGTACACAGACCCATTATATTTATTAAGACTTTCCTCCAGAGTTTTATGTATAATTTGTTATTTAAAAGTTATTTTAAAGATGAAATAGACTCTTTGTAGTACACAGTGTACACCACGGGCAGCCGTAGTACATTTGAATTACCGAGCCGGGTCAACCTTTCCGGTCCCAGTTTGTACTGTACCCAGCTCTATGGACAGGACTAGCCGGTGCAACAAGGTTGACGCGGTCAGACTTTATGCTTCATATAGGCTGAATTTACTTTTACTAAAGGGACAGAGACACGTGAATCAAAAAGTACGTTTTGTGATACATTAAAGTCGTCTAAGAAACACTTTTATATTTTTATAACTTTGATTGAGAACAGAAATTGATATTACCTCTGGACAATGTTGGGTCGGGCAGGTCGTCTTTTCTTCTTAAACAAATTTGGAACTTTAGGTCTCCCATTTGCGTCTACTTCAAGCCGTAGGTTCTATACATTACACAAAATTAAGATTTAAACAAACCCCCAGACCCAGCTAATTCAAATATGCAAAAAATTTTGCAAATTAAAAAATGAGAATTTAAGGAAAACTGAAAATATGCAAATTCCCTTTAAACACAAAAATCCATGCAAAAATTCTTCACCAAGTTTCTAAAATCTGCATGGCATTGGCATAATTTACAAACAAAAAGTTGAAAAGTGTTAACTTTTATAGTTTTTCTTATTAATTATCACTTTCTGTATGTTTGTTTTAATTGTGTCGTTATCTGTTTTTACATACCCTGTATTTTCTTTGGCGTTCTTCTTCTTCCATAACTAGGATTTCATTTTCCATATCAAGATACTCATAATCTTCAGACAGATCTATATTTTCTTCAATCTTCTTGGTTTTATATTCTTCTTCTTCTTCTTCCAGTATTCTTTCTTCCGCCTTTTCCTCTTCCTTTTCAACTTCATTTTTCATATTTTCTTCCGTTGCTTCTGTATTTTTCATCTTTTCTGCGTTTTTATTTTCAGTTTTCCCATCACGGGATTTTTTCTTTCTGTGACTCTTTGGGACTGCTTCTGTCATTTCTGGTTTAGAATGAATGTTGGGTTTTTTAGATCCTCCTCTTTCTTTTAGCTTTGAAGGTATCTTTAACTCAACCGTAGTCTCACTATACCAACAGATTTTTTAATTATTGCGATTTGTAAGAAAAAGCTTTTGGCAAAAATTCTTTTTTTTTTGCCAAATAATTATTAGAAGTTCTATGGTTTATAAATCATTTAACTTCAATTACCTAAAATAGTTTGATAAATTAATTTTTTTCAATTGATACATTTTTGTTTGATTTAAAAATTCCCTAATGGAGAAATTGTTTGCTTTCATAAGCAGGTCTGCCATAACAGTTTCTGTATTCGTGATAACCTATATAATGTTAAAATGATGTTTAACCATGAAAAATTTTCTTAATTACGGAATGTTTGCCAAGAAATAAATCTATAATTTTTTTAACTTTTACTGTTTAAACAGTGTACAAAAAGCAGAATCTAAAGAAAATATAAAATAAATTGTCAAAAATTAAAACCCGGTACAATTTTAAAAAATAATTTTCTACTTTATGAAAAGGATTTCCGCTTTTTATCCTGATTTTTAAGGCCTAGTTAACAAAAACCATAATCTTACCACTTCTGATACGTTTTTCATGTTTTCAAAAATCTCCACCATAATATCAGCTCTATCATCTGAGAAAAAAATAATTAAAACAAGCATTTTATTATCGTTTTCTTCTTTCCTCTAAAGGGGAATATTTACGCTATTTAATGTGACTTTCTAACTTAAGAGTGGAAAACCCGATTCACAACGGTACCCTTAAAAGCTTTAATGGAAATGAATTAATGAGATATCCAGCAGTGTTTTTTATGTTTTAAAATTGATAATTTACACTTGTGGTTTCTCTGTAAAACGTAAATTGTTAGTATTCAACACTTTTCGAGCTAGAAAAACAACGATGTTCTGCACATTATTTATTAGATAAGGGTAAAAAGAAAACCGTTGTAAATTGAGCATGCACTTCTGCAAAATAGTTTACGTGAACGACAGTCCCTTCTGTATATTAATTTTGCTTTTCTGTTTGTTTGATTGTTTGTTAGTATCCAATAAACGTCAAAACGACTCAACCGATCAGGCCCAAATTTTTTGAGGGACCTCACATGATTACAGTGAAGGTTATTGGATGATCAAAATTTCAAGAAATTTGCCTCAAACAAAATTCGATTTTCATTAAATTTAAAAAATCCCTTAAATTTTTCTTTTTAAATTTGCGAACATTTTTTGTAATTGTTTTATATTGTATACAATTCAAACAGAAAATTCCTAGAAAGATAGAGTGTTCATGAAATAATTAATAAATCAACATTTTTAAATTTTAAATTAGATTCTATTTTGTTAATACCTTGTGTAAGTGCCCCTATGTAGTTTAGCTCTAGTAAGCAGTAGAATATTAACTAAAAAAAAATATATAGATATTAATTATATTGATGAACGAACTGAAGTACCTGGCGTTACCACTAGAATAAAAAAAATCGAATATAAAAAAATATTTTAAACAAAAATAATAATTTAGATTTTTTTTTGTTTTGCCTATGTTACCCCCAGGGTACCCATTGGTTTCCTCAAAAAATATCGGCCAATATTATCTAGCCGTTTGGCCAGCCATAGCTAACATAAAAACATATGGGCATAATAATAGAAATAACAATTACATTTTTCTATAATTTCTATCTAAACATTAACTAAAAATTATATTTAGTTATTAATTATATTGAATATGCATTCTTAGAATAGAAATAACAATTACATTTTTCTATTATTTCTATCTATTCTAAGCATTAACTAAACATTATATTTAGTTATTAATTATATTGATTATACATTAACTAAAAAATAATATTAATCAGATTTTTATTAAATAATTATAATACATATCTATAATAAATTAATTTTACAGATAATATTGATTAAATGTCGTCTTCTTCTATCTTTACTATTTGGGTTCTACTTTTATGTAAATAAGGTACAAAACTGTGATCTGAATAACCTGAATAATTTTTAACTCTTCGCATAATAGTATTAAAACGCCTTCAACTTTTTACTCACCTGGAAAAACTGCATTTTTTATCGAACAATTAGAAGTGTAAATACAACTTTTTCGCCATGAACATTTTTCTGAAAATATTAAACATGTCCTCAAGTTATTTTGTGTACATAAAAATAAGATCTTAAAACGAAATACGAAACAATTATACAAATCAGAAGAGTCATATTTGCCTTTAAAATAGCGGCAATAAACATTTTTGGATTATAGAAATTCTAGCTATTCAAATTTTAAGAGAGGTACCCTTTCTCATATATATTTATGATCTTCTATCAGCATATTTTAAAGCTTTAAGCTTTGCTTTTAAATATATAGAGATATATATCAGGCTCAAATGAAACAATTTAAACTGTAAAGGAACTGATTATTCTCCTCAAACTCTTGGTATGACCATTTTAGATTGAGTTTTAAAGAGAAAGCTCAGTTTCTAAGCAAAGCTGGGTTCCAAAGCTTGTAAGGATTAAACAAAATAGAGTTTAGTTTAAAACCTGTAGACACACACGGGCAGCCGTAGTACATTTTCATTTCCGAGCCGGGTCAACCTTTCCGGTCCCCGTTTGTACTGTACCTGGCTCTATGGACATGACTAGCCGGTGCAACAAGGTTGACGCGGTCAGACTTTATGCTTCAAATAGGTTCAATTTACTTTTACTAAAGGGGCAGAGGTGCGTGCACAGTACTGTGTATAAACTAGTTTTATTGTGAATAAGATCTTGCTTTGTTTACAATATTTTTATTGTTTAATATATAACTGATTCACAAAATGTACGTTAAAAGGTGTGAAATGTAAACCTTTTACAGTGCAAGCTGTACATTAAAAGCGTACAATGTAGATTTAAAAGTGTACATTGTACATGAAAAGGTGTGAAAAGTACAAATTTTACAGTGCAAGCTGTACATTAAACGCGTACAATGTAGATTTAAAAGTGTACATTGTACATTAAAAGGTGTGAGATGTATACATTTTATAGTGCACGCTCTACATTAAAAGCTAAGCGTACAATGAAGATTTAACAGTGTGTATTAAGTATAATCTGTAAATAGTATAAAAATAATTGTACTTTTAATTGACTTCTTTAATTGTTAACTTGAAATTAGGGGAGGGGTTAAAATATTATAAAATATAAACTATTTACAAATGTGGCGAAATATAATCGATGACTATAGGTTGTAATATCTGAATGGTTTGTTTGAAATGAAATTGTTTTTTTTACGGTCTAAGTCGTATAATGCAATCTTAAAACATGTTTGATTCTGATAATTTTATTTCGTGGACTCTTTTCAACATCAAAATTTCGCAAGTCACTTTTATAGATAGACCACAAATAAAAATAATCTATTTTTCAGATAGAAAAAAAATATCTCTATCATAAGACAAAGGTGAATAGAAGGTGGCTTGGAAGGTTTTAAAATGAAATAAAATTAACTTTATTGAGTTGTACCGAAGTTGCATGCTTTTTATTCACGGAAATAGATATTCGTGTAAACGCAATTGTTACTTAATTCATATCTTATTCACACCCCACTCTCTCTCTCTCAAACCAAACCAAACATTTCCCACAGTCTAATAAACCCTGGTTTCAGAGTGGGGGGAGGGGGGGGGAAGCTTATTCCGGGTTATATTCATAGATTGTTATATTCTTTAAGGAACCAATCATATACGGTAAAATTTACTGTCAAATCTTAGATATAAATAATTAAAGGTAGACGTAACTTCAAGTTTTCAAGTTTTCAAGTTTTCAAGTTTTCAAGTTTTCAAGTTTTCAAGTTTTCAAGTTTTCAAGGGACTTTAAGATTCATATCGTCCTTTAATCAGCTTCACCTCCTTTCATTACAAATTTTCAATTATCATTATTCAATTTTCAAGAATATCTTAATCGTTTTTCTCAAATTCGGTTTATGTGTACTGTAGTGAATAGAGCATCTAACTGTTTAAATGGTAGGTCACTTTAATATTCATCTACAATCCCTTTAAGATGTACAGATAAAGTTTGATATACAGTCCCTTTAAGATGTATATATAAAGTTTGATATACAGTCCCTTTAAGATGTATAGATAAAGTTTGATATACAGTCCCTTTAAGATATATAGATAAAGTTTGATATACAGTCCCTTTAAAATGTACAGATAAAGTTTGATATACAGTCCCTTTAAAATGTACAGATAAAGTTTAATCTACAGTCCCTTTAAGATGTATAGATAAAGTTTGATATACAGTCCCTGTATAATAAATGGTCTAATTTTAAACTATACACCCTGTATAGTAAATGGTCTAATTTTAAGCTAAACACCCTGTTTAATAAATCGTCTAATTTTAAACTATACACCCTGTATAGTAAATAATCTAATTTTAAACTATACCACCCTGTATAATAAATGGTCTAATTTTTAACCGTACACTATGTATAAGAAACGGTATAATTTTAAACTATACACCCTGTATAATAAATGGTCTAATTTTAAACTATGCAGTATATTAGACCATTTATTATACAGGGTGCTTACCTTAAAATTAGACCATTTACAGGCAGTATACACCCTGTATAATAAATGGTCTAACTTTTTAACTATACACCCTGTATAGTTAATGGTCTAATTTTAAACTATACACCCTGTATAGTTAATGGTCTAATTTTAAACTATACACCCTGTATACTAAATGGTCTATTTTTAAACTATACACCCTGTATACTAAAAGATCTTATTTAAAACTATACACCCTGTATAGTAAATGATCTAATTTTAACTATAAACCCTGTATACAAAATGGTCTAATTCTAATCTGTACACCCTGTATACTAAATGGGCTAATTTAAAACTATACAACCTGTATAGTAAATGGTCTAATTATAAACTAAACACCATGTATTATAAATGATTTAATTTTCAATTAAACAACCTGTGTACTAAATGGTCTATTTTTAAACTATACAC